TAAATATTAATAATTTTGAACAAAAATTTTTCGCTGTTATTTGTTGTTACTTTTATTTCTCGTATGTTACTTAACTCTGTTCGTGCATTACGTTTGATTTTATATGACACCGGAAACTAAAAAAGCAAATGCATACAGTATTATTAGAATATGCTCTTAATAGGAAGCTCGAATGTTCGAAAGCTCGATGCAAGCATATATGTATATTCATTTCACTGATTCAAGGAAATGAATGCAGTTTACATTTCAATACGTGTTAATAGTATTCAAAACCAGATGTGAGTAAATAATGAAAAAGTTTTGTTTGTAACCTTAAAGAAAGTAGCTTCAAAAAGATGTAACAAATTTGAGTGTAAGCCAATTTTAAACTCAAAAGCTTCCAAAAATTTAAAGACAATCTCAAATCGATCCGTCAACTGAAATCCTATCAGATGGGTATAATATGCACAAATTGAAAAGTTTACGTATGTTAATGTCATATGGGCACATAATGTTAAAGCAAGGTTACTCAAAAACAATTGAATTGAACTGTTTAATGTAGATTTGAATTTTTCATAAAACAAAAATTAAAAAAAAATTATCATAGCAGGGATGTGCCTGAAACCCAAATTATTTAAGAATTCTTTGTTATTAACTGCGATTTTCTGCATTTATTGACAATAAATAACAATACTATTTTTATACTATTTCTATCAACCTTATAATTTCATTGTTTCATTTATTGTTGGTAATAATCTTGGAAAGTAGGTGTTCATTAAAAAAAGAAAAATGCTGTAACAAAAACCATGCATTAAATAAGTTCTTAAAATACACTCGAACAAATGATAAATAACAGTTGGCAGTTTTAATGTTTGATTATTCTTTCACTGTGCAAAGTCACGAAGTATTCTATAAAAGGCTATGAGTAAGTTTATTATCAGAATTACATGTTTACGAATTACTAGAAAACTTTCGACAAAAATATTCTCGCAAAACAAATGAAAATTAATACCAAACAATAGATAGCATGGTGTACTCGTATAAGAGAACAAAGTTTATACATACAGTTACTTTGTCTGGTTAAATAGAAGATATAAGGTTATCTCAATAAAGGGTTGTGCAAATAAATATGATAATTTGTAATACTCTTTTGAAACTTGTTTTATCAAAATTCATTCTTATACAGGTAACCATATGTTTTACTAAGACTTTTTAAAATCATAACATATATTACAAATATTGTAAAATAATTAATTATGAAACACTTTTACACTTAATAGGAGTTAATATCAAACATTAATATGAAATTTCATTGTAGTTGTAGTTATTTGTTAAGAATAATCTCAGGAATTAGATGCTGGAAATTCCTTTTCTACATAGGTATAATAATCACAAAAATCGATTTAATGAAATTAATTTTAAGAAGAAATTTTCNATTGATAATAACGACAAAAATAAATTTTAAACCCTTTACCATTACTTATCAACTCTTAAATGATAACAGGAATATTAACAACGGTAATTAGTGAAGGATTTAGATTATGGAAGGCGCCGAAGCTGAATGTGTAAGCATTACAAATAATTGCAATAAAATTAACTAATGATATTTAAAACATTATTTGGGTACTATTACGTATGCATAGAAGTGTAATTTACTGTACATATTTTATTTAAATGTTTTGGAAGTCTTTATGTTGGGTAGTTATGCACAAGGGACAGATTTTAGTAAGACTAATTACTGGAGAAATATTTCTATTGTACTATTCTTGTCAATTCCGTTTTTCATTAATAGAATTTCGAATTCGAAAGGAAATATTTCAAAATTAACATTTCCATAACATAAAGTTCGTTACATATTACGATCTTTTGACGCGGTCCAACCCTAATGAATCTTCTAACACCCGTTCATTTTTGCATCTGTAGTATAGCTTATTAATTCGTTTAAAGAAAAAGTTAATTACACATGGAAGTAAGTATTATCTAACACACGATCAGCGCCTGAAAAGGATTGTTGATTGTATCAACGTATTCTTAAATTAAGTAAGTAGGTATAGAAAGTTTAGTTTGCTAGTTCAACTGTCGATTAAAAGCAAAAGTGAATAGCTTGTAATAAAATTACATGATACGAAACAACGCAATTACTACCTTTGAAGAACATGAATAGATACTAACACATAAACACGTCGTACATCCCTCATAACTAATACGAATGTAAATTACACACATATAACATTCTTAGATATTGCATAAAATTCACGTTTTATCGTATTGAGTTTAGTATATTCTTTTTAAATGTTCAAACTTTTAATCAAATATTTTCTATAAATATGTATCGATGCATTAAACAGTCGGCCTATACGGTAATATTTCATTATTTAGCCAGTACCAAGTCCGCAAACGATCACGGCTAGTAGTGGCCTAACATTTATACATACAGAAGGGTAAATCCCTAATTAATTCTTGATTATTTTGCAATTTTGGGTCCCAAAAGAAACCAATAATTACTACTTTTTATATGTAATAACTGGTCCAAAAATATATAACAGATGCTGGAAATTCCTTTTCTACATAGGTATAATAATCACAAAAATCGATTTAATGAAATTAATTTTAAGAATAAATTTTCAATATAATTGTACAATTACAATTTTTACGTATTTTTATTTAAAACTGAAGGCCTAATTCTACTATAAAACTGAATGGGGCACGAGCAAGAATAGAAGAGGAGTGTTCGAAACTTCAAAGTACATTACAAAACACATGTCTTTTCGTATTATTAGTATTTATGTAGTATGCCCGTGTTAACTGAAAAACGAACGCGACCAACTTTTGTAACACATGATATCTTGTAAAATAAACACAAAAAATGAGTAGCAGAATTGTAACAGACTGATGGGTGACCGAAATACTTTTTTTTTTGAAAAGTGGAACGTTGTGCAACATTTTTGTATCTCTTCCTTTTAATTTTTTATATATATATATATGTGTAAAGATACAAAATGTAAATAAAGCACGGTTAATTTTTACAATGACAGAAAAAACTGTTTCCTTCTTTTCAAATCGTACATGATATTTTTTACTACTGCTGTAGGTAGTAGGTTTGTGGTTCTGTTTACCACACTGTGGCTTCTTAATATGAAAGGCAAGCATTACAACATGATGTCTATTTGATACGTGAAGTTACATACACACATCTGTATTCATACGTGTTTGTGTACATATGTTTATTTCATATTTGGGGCTTAAGCAATCGACAGTAAAAAGTGATTATAGCCGAACAATAAAAACAGAAGTTTTCAGAAGAGCGCTCGTTGAAATGCCAAGGTTTTCATAAAATTAGGTGGGAAGTAACTTCGTTTACCGCATTAAAATCCATGTGCGCGATGTACCTACCTATTTAATGTGATATATAAACTTTCAACATCATTTCGCTACCTTTGAAGTATTGCAACACTAATTACCATTTCTGCAGGTGACTGATTAAATTAATCTTTAACAATAATCCGGTAAAGTCAAACAGCTCGTGGTATTTTTAATGAGCTATTGTTTTCCTGGGCAACATTAAGTACTTATCGAGTTATTATCGAATTACACACATAAATCTTTTGACCATCTGTTTCTTCTCAACCTTTTACTTCAATACTTAAGGTATTAATTGGTTTTCGTTAATATTTTTCGATTACGTGAAGCAACGTATCTATTATTGAGTTGATATTCAACCCCTAATCTCTAGCAAAACAGCTCACTCTATACAATTTCACAAGGGGCGTGAAAAGCGGTTCTAATAAGCCCTAGAAGTGCTTTCGGACACACCTCCATAAAATTAGTTTTCAATATAAAACATCGTATTACAACAAAGTAAATACTTGAAATCTTATGACATTGTTAGTTGCTTAATAGTGGATTAAAATGCAAAATTAATTTAAAATCATTTTTTCGATTCTTTATTTACNAATTTCAAAATTTAGTCATTTTTAAATGGCTGTAATTAATTGTAAAGATAATCATACTTTGTCTTAGAGTTTTGTAAAGCTGAAAGACTCAACTTTGAGAATATGAAACGGTTTTTTGGGAAAAATTGCGTAAATTGTGTAAATTTAATTTAAAACAAAAAAGAATTTTTCCTAAGTTAATTAAATGGGAAACTAAAATAAAAATAGCGACCCCTTAGATTTGAGCTATAGGGCTCATGTTTGGCGAGGATTTATTTTACATCAAATAGAAACATTTGAGGGGGTAAGAGTTAAAAAAAAATAAAAATTTTGTTTGAAGCACCCTATCCTGCACGTTCCTGTTTTAGTTTCAACATATGACTTGATTTACACAATTGATTAATACTGTATTAAAAATCTGCAGGCGTCACAATTTTGCACAAAAATAAATATTCTGTATGTTATTGGCAGACATGTGACCTTTCTACATTTATTGGCGATAATTTTTCTTGATTCAATGGCAGATTACAACACTTTTGCAACGCCGTGTATGGCGCTATCGGAAGAATTTAAGATTGTAATGGTCTATAGAAATTCTCACTTAACCGTGACACTTGTTTATTGAAATGCAAATATGTGCATGGAAAATAATAACAAACAAATAAATAAAGGCACTCTCAAACATAACGACCGTACGCGTAGGTAATTTTATTAATTTGACCATGGCACATTATCGGCATACAAAGATCGCGTTTTATTGCGATTTCGCCTTTTTTCAACTTTTTAACGTTATCGACAGTTGTTAAATCGATTTTACAATTTTCCACATTTAATTAAGCAATTAACTTTAAGTTTGCGATTGTTTTAAAGTATCAAAAGTTGTATATGTATTATACATATATTATTTTATTTGAAAGAAAATAAGTCAAATTTTGCCCAAAAGCGAAACTATTAGTTTCTATTAATTCTCATAAAGTCAATCAATAAACATTTAAATCAATAATTTCTGGTGCAATATTTTTTAAATAACACTAGAATGAGCCGCCTGTTTCTGGTATCAGCCAAAGAAACAAGTATACAACTACTCACTTCGTTATTTTTTCTTGTCTTTGCATAATATTTGCAACTGTTACAGTTTCTTTAAGTTGCATGACAAGTCCAGCCCTAATGGACTCTACAACGGCTGCTGTACTACCCTCTTCGTTGGTTTCAAAACATTTTTTATGTTCTTGGCTTTCGAAAAAGCTATCGTTGTGGTTCATGTTTATTTGTTGAAAAAGAGTTTTCTTGGCAACCAAAACACCTGTGGGCGGAAAACGCCAATTACTGAGCTATTAAGCTTAATCTTTGCATTGGCAGAAAACACAAGCTATCAATCAGCTCATTAATAAGACAGTAGTAATTACAAGAACATTCAATATTTTTATTACATTTAATATTTTTTATTTTTCTGTGCTTTTTTGTTTTAAATCTCACCTGGTGTTTGTACACCGCCGATAAACTTGTGCCCTGAAAAATACAGGGCGTCTTTGTTAAGGGCATTTTCTTCAACCCCCGATACCACGGGGTTCATATCTATCAAAACAGTTGGACCTGCAACGCTATAATCCCAAAATGATAGAGCACCATACTGGTGTAAAAGTAAAGTAGACGCAATATCATCAGTTAGTATACCCGTTACGTTGGAGGCAGCTGAAAAACAACCAATCATCTGGCGACCAGAATTTTGGTATATTTTTAGCTGTTCCTCCAAATCGTTGAGATCTATAAATCCTTCTTTTGTTTCCCCTATCCTTATCACCTGTAAAGAGAAATAGAAAAAAATGCCCATTCTTATAAGATTATATTTCTATTATGTATCATGACTTCGTGACCTCCCTATACTTTTACGAAATTCTTGATGTAAATACAGTGTAAACTCTTTATAACTCCTTAAAACGTCGAAATTGCTTGACTTTGGTTGGTTTACATTGTTTTCTATACAATATTACACTCTATATAGCGTCACGCTCAGTCTATTTAACGACAACAATGCGACATTGTAAATCATTAAGCAGTACTTTCTAAGTTGCCGAAATAGATAAGAACTGCAGCTGTGTACGTTGTTGAAGAAGACGATCCTGTCCCTCCACCAAGCATCAAACAAGCACTTGATGCAGCGAAACTATTAAAAAAATACTTTTTATATAATCAAATTGATCCAGCAGTATCTCAAGATATGAGTAAGATACGTAACA